AGATTGTGCAAAAAGACACACAGTTAACATCCTTTGTGTTCTTTGTGCCTCTGTGTTTTCTCCTTCTTCCCAAAGCACAAGCCAGACAAAGCACACTCACATAGACTCAGAGGACAGAAATGAACCCAGAAGTGTCTACATCATATACAGTCATCTTGGTGCTGCTAGAGAAGCAGCATCATTTTTTATTGTCCTAGGTTTAAAGACCAGTGCCACAGTCTAGCAGTGTAATTGACTCAAGGTGCCAACATCTGTATTTCTTTTGTTCATTTGCATATATAGCATTTACAGGACGTGTGATATTGTATCATATTTTGTAGAATATGACACATACTTCTGCAATGTAAACACAATTGTTATTTTTACCTATGAAACCTTACTCTGATTGCCAAACATGATTTTTTTCACTTCCTTACATTTTATTTGCAATGTTTTGGAGAGGCTTAGCATTTTTGCCAAGTGCAGTTATTTGACCATGTTAAAGCATTATTTAGAACTCAGAATGTCACAGTGATATATTTCAACATAATCCCCACTTCTGCAGTGCTGAAAAATTACCCATTACTGTGGCAATCCCTTTTCTAGACAGGATTCAAGTACTGGTACTTTTGGCAGATGACTCCAGCCAGCAGCTAAGCACCCACACAGCCACTTGCTCAGTCCACTCCTACCCCAGACCCTGTACAGTAATTCAAGGATTCAAGGAATTTGCTGCAAAGGTTAAAGATCTTTGGAAATCACCAGGCTATGGAGCTGTAATGGAAACGTCTCTTGCCTACAATTCCATTTAAATAACTCCAATTAGTAGAGCTTTTGCGTACTTATATACCTCACACTACATTTCTTACATGATAGCAGGTATGAATGCAAGTATCTTTGACTCTCTACCCAAAAATCTACTACACAGGTCTTGAAAGTGCCAAAAGATCCTAGAAGGCTTTGTCCTCTCCAAATGCCTTGAGGTGTAGTTTCATTGTAAGAGAACAATGGTAGAAAAAAAAACAGAATAGTTCAAATCAGCTGACCTGTGCCCAGGATGACATATCTATACATTCATTTCAGATTTACAAAATATACTAGTTTAGTGTGTGTTCATTGGCTTGTTTGTTAGCCTGGCAGTAAGTCAAGCCTCATCACCTCCCATGTTAAATTGTCAGGTGACATAAACAGTGTAGAAAGATATATAGATATAGATATAGATATAGATATATGCATATAGGGATAGAGCTTTTAAATGTCATTCTGAGACTATGACTGAAGCCTGAGGCACTGACAGGCTGTATCCCCCACAACTAGCTGCATGCTGCTTGTATTCTCAACTTGCAGTTTAAGAGGATTAGCATATTTTATTTTCGAAGAGCATCACATATAATGTTATGGAGACTAGTTTTCGCACTGTTTCAAATGGAAAGTTGCCTGTTAAATCCTGTGATGAAAGAGACTGTGTTCCTTTTTTACATGTATATGACAGTGGCTAAAATTATCTAATTTTAAAAGCACCTTGTTATCAGAGGCAATTTTAGGTTGTTAGAGGCTGCTACTTATATGGGACTTTATAATATGCAATTGCACTGTTAGCGTGAAAATTGAAGAGGCACCAAAGATTCTACAAAACATTCATCAGAGCATCTTTCACACCTACTACAATCAATCAGCAACTTGGAAACCAAGGAATGTTGTTTCTTTCTGCTGATGGCGAGAATACACTTTATTCCAATTGCAGGCAGTATACAGCATTAGTATCTGGATGTTTTAAAAGGCATTGAGTATTCCTGGTGACTTTAAGCTTACTTAGGAGCTGCAGCTGTTCCACTCACATAAAAGTTAAGTGAATGACTTTCTCATTGACAAAGATACATCAGGCAGTATGCTTAGTGAGATCCAGATACTCCTAGGTGACAAAGGTTTCTGTAATCTCCTGCTCCCTTTGATCCACTACAGTAGTAGTACTGTCTGGTGGTGAGGAGAACACAGCTTCATAAATCAGCAAGAATTACAGAGTATTCACATCCAAATTCAACTTATATTTCCACATATCCATCTCACTTCCATGTGTGAGCTTTTTGTTTGTTTGACTTGCCAGTTTCTCCGTTTTTACCTTGTTTTCTTTAAGAAAGGGAGAAGGGGTGGAAAAACAGAAATCCAACCTTCCCAGAAAAAAAAAAAAAAATTGGAAAAGGCCCCAAAGCAAAGTGATAGGCAAAGGTTGCACACCAACCAACACAGATGTGTAGTTCAGCAAACTGAACTGATGCTGTCCTTGGCTGTTCACTTCAGAGTGTCTTAGCAAGGAACAGGTTATACAGGAGACTAGAAACCATTAAGTAATTGAATCAAGCTGTATTTTCCAATTCTCAAGCCTTTAAATATGTGACATTATTTTGTAATACCTGACCTTTTGAGAAGAATGTAATTGCAGTGTGAAAATGCTTTTGTTTCATTTTTGAAATGACCAAGCTTTGTTTCTAAAGGCCAGGACTCCTAAACATCAGTGAACCAGCCACTCAGCCATGGCTAGCAGATACTTGGCCTAACACAGGGAACAATCACAATGACTGCTCCATCAACTGCTGCACCTCTGGCAATGGAAACAGTGATAGCAACCTGACGACATACAGTCGACCAGGTTAGTTACATTTCTACCTTGCTAAGGAATCTTCTTTACAGAGTGTGTACTTCAAATACCCGAAAGAACGTTCAGGTTTGTTTGTGTTTTTATTTCCAAAGCATTTAGACTTAATGTAGTTTATCCTCTATGTCATGATTTTGCTTTTGGTCCCTTTTTGGATCCTTTTCTTCGGTCCCCTTTGTATAGTTGTAGCAAGCTGTAGACCAAAGGTGCCCTGCAAAGTTCAATGTTACCAAAAGCTACACTGAACTCGTATGTTTCAGCATCTGAAAAAGAGCTGATAAGGTCATTTTTACGTTGTTCTGTACATCCCTGTTGCTTGGTTGGAGAAGTATGAAAATTACACTAGAGAAATTTCCCTTCTGGTTTGGGTGCGATGGGAAGCAAGAAATAAAACGTTGCTACAATACTTGCAAGGCAGTCAGTCTGCTTTGGCACATTCAGAACCTCCCTTGGGCTGCCATTCTGTACAAAGTTGGATAGCTGGTCTTCTGTTTGGGGCGTGTGGGTAAGGAATATAACTTCACACTCTAAAAGCAGTTATGAAAAGTTAGGTTAAGTGGTAGTTCCCGGGAGCTTGGGCAGGACTCTAGAGCACTCTTACAGAAGAAAACCTTGTGGGTTCCATGGGAACACAGCTGGGGAAAAATATCTGGAAGCACTAATTGTTGCACGTCTTTTTAAACAGAAGTTTGTTTTGTTTTAAGCCTGTTTGTGTTACTGGTGAGGAAAGAAGATTCTTTTTCACTACCAGCATCCCTAGCTAATTTTTGCTAGTAGCATTTCCTAGAATTTCAAAGAGGTATTGTGATTACCTTATAGTGAAGTTGCATAAGTGCAAAACAGCATTGCCTCCTATAATTAATGTGAAACTAGCCATAATGTGATCATGGTAATTCATCTCCTGCGATATGGTGTCTGACAGAGACCAGTGCCAGGTGCTTCAGAGGAAGGTGAGAGATTTTAACATTAGGCTCGTATCTTACACTGCCTGAGGTCACAAATACCTATGTAAAAAGATCTCTGATACAGAGATGCTTACAGTTCTAGAAACTGAAACTTAACAAATTCAGTAAAGGAAGAGAACGCACGTTTTTGGGAGGCTGTAAACTATTATGACATCTTGTCATGCGGTACAGTGGATTCTTTCTCAGCTTAGCTTCTGCATGAACCTTGGTTGTGTTGCAAAGTGATTCCTTCCTTTCAAGTAGCACTTAAGAGCTTGAAGGTCAGACAAGATGCTCATAATGGTCTCTTCTGTTCTGGAAGATCTGGCAGATATCTTAATTATGTCAGCTTGGGCTTGGCATATGCTCTGAAGCAGCAGAGTTGGCTATCCCCTCTGTAGCTGTGAACATGCTACAAAACTATGCATTTTTACTTTCATATAAATATAGTGCTGTCATCCAAGTCCACAGAATGGGAATGGGTTGTTCTAAAAGTAAAAATCTTAACAGAAGAAATCTTCTGTTATATAGGTAAACCAGTTTTGCTTAAGTACTTTGTATGAGGAATTCTAATGCATCTACACAAAAAAAAAAATGTGCCTAGTGCATGCACTGTATCGATTATGTTGCCCTACACACAGATCAGATGTAGCTGAAAATGGAAGGTTATACGTGACTCTGCAAGAGTATTATAGCAAAGCATGATGTATTAGGAATGAAGAATATGCTGCATACATATTTGCTTAATATAGTATGATAGACTTGGAAAGGAGGGAAGACTAGCATGGTTTCAGTAGGAGAAAGAAAAAGCAGAATTGAAAACATTTTAATAGTAGAAATCAAGAAGCTGAAGACTGAAACAATAAATAACAGCTCACATAAGATAGAAAAAATATCAAACACTAAAACTATCAGAAAACACAAGCTGGGGGGAATGAAATGTGCAATGATAAGCTGTATGTGGCATGTTCTGATACTGTTCCTTAATCACTGAGAGTGGGGATCAGTGTTTTTCTTCCTCAAGTATTTTATTTCTCTTTTCCAAGAAATATTCTCAAAAAGAGATGTATGTATTTGGGAATATTTTTTAAATTGAACATCCTCTATAGTTAGTAGTCATTTTATTTAGTATAGTGGTCAAATCCTGAATTCTGTACTGTGGTTTACTTGGCACTCTCTCTAGTAAATTAATTGTGGCCACAGGTAATGCACTTCAGGTTTTGAATCAAACTCATTAGCATAAATACCACATCTTTTAAAAGAAGAAAACTATATTCCTGGTGATCTTTATGGAATTATTGATGCCTTAATCAGCTGGGAAATGAGAATTTTTGCTTAATTATCATTGAATGCTAGTTTCATTAAGCCTTCTAACTGCTGGCCCACAGACTGTGTTACGTCATTTGGTATTCTTCCAGTGGACTGGATTTGGAGAGGGGAAAAAAGCAATGGAGCTGCTGTCATGCAGAGGCGAGAAGGCGTGGAAAGGCAGGCACAGTACTTCACACAGCAGTGGCCAGAGCATCAGTACCTGTGTAATTATGCAATAAGTGGTGATCTGATGATGCAATAACATGAACTCATGCTGTCTATATTTAGCGTACAGGACAATGGTATTACTATGGCATTACTTACTTTGCAATATCCAGAGCAACTAAAAATTAGCAAAAATTCCAGATTGCTTTCCTGTCTTTGTTTCAAACCAAAATATAAGACTGTACAAGGAAACAATGGTCAAATAAAGACTTGCTACTGCTGGGTACTGAGTTACCTTTCACATTGTATTGTTTCTCTTTAATTCTGTTATATGTAATCATTTTGCAGTCTGTTTTATAAAAATCTGTTGTATCTCTGTTCCTGATCACAAGTGCAAGAAAGTCTAAATGCTGTTGAGATGGTGTGCGGTGACTGTCATGTTTAGTTATTCCCACTGTGAAGTTTTGGTTGATTTTTCCTTTCAATGCAAGCTATTTTAATCACAGTTATTGACTTGATATCTATACTGCTTTGAGGATAATGCCTAAAAATATGAACACTTATATGGCAACTGCTGAAAAAGCTCAGCAAGGTAAGTCATTGCAGATACAACTCAAAAGGTCTGAACTGACAGTGAATCAAACCAGTGAACGCAATTTTTGAAACAGTAGCTTATAAGGTAAATAATGTTCTGTAAATTATTTAATTCAGTACCTCTGCTTCATGGATGCAAGCCGTAGAGTTAAAGCATTTTTAAGGGAGATTTTTCATTGAAAAAATGGTGTAAGCGAACAGAATGACCTTTTCTTTTTTCTCTCCTCTGTGGTTAGCGATGCAAGCTGTAGAGTTAAAGCATTTTTAAGGGAATTTCATTGAAAAAATGGTGTAAGCGAACAGAATGACCTTTTCTTTTTTCTCTCCTCTGTGGTTAGCCGATTGTATAGCAAATTACAACAATCAGCTGGACAACAAGCAGACAAACCTGATGTTGCCTGAGTCAACTGTATATGGTGACGTGGACCTCAGCAACAAAATCAATGAGATGAAAACCTTCAATAGTCCAAATCTAAAGGACGGAAGATTTGTCAGCCAGCCTGGGCAGCCCACTCCTTATGCCACCACTCAACTCATCCAGTCAAATATCAGCAATAATGTTAACAATGGCAGCGGGGATTCGAATGAGAAACACTGGAAACCCTCTGTTCAGCAAAAGCAAGAGGTTCCACCCATACAGTACAACATTATGGAGCAAAACAAATTAAACAAAGGTGAAGAGCTTTTAGCTTGTTTCTCCTCTTTAGGCATCAGAGGAGTCTTGACCTGCTGGTGCTGGGGGTGGAAAGCTTTCAGGTTCAGCCGTTACAGACTTCTGTGGTGCTTTTAGACTTTTCCCACTTTAGATTTAGAAATCCACCGTTAGCAGTGTCAGAAAGTTAATTACCACCATAATAACCTTCAGATATTGAATTTATTATAAAACAAATTGTATCTTTAGAAAAGACTTAAATAAAATACATTTCCTATGGATTTGAGATTAATTTAAGCTTAGTAATAGTTAAGGGATTGGTTAGGACAGAGGCCAGATATTTTATTCATAAGCCATATGCGTGGCAGTCACATTATGCTCTACCTTAAATTTTAAATAGGTCAACCCACTCTTCCCAGCTGTGGATGGAGACTAATTAAATCTACATGTTCATGTAAACGAATGAAACTTTGCATATCAAACTCTGTAAAATTGTATTGTGTTGTACACTGGGGACACAAATGGAGTGATCCAATTCATTTTAGACTTTTTCCTAGCAAGCCTTCGATGCACATATCGAGAGGCAATGCTACTGCACACAGTTTTGGAAACTAAATTCCTTTGTTAGCCTGACTGAAGTCTGTGGATCCAGAAGCTAAAAATAAATTGATTTCAGTGTTAACGGAAAACATCAGGATGTACTTTTGTGGCCTTGAGGGCATGTTTCTTTAATATAATGTGTGGGAGTTGGAAGAAATAGGTATATGATTTCTTGCTGGTCCTCCAGGCTACCATGCAACCTCTTTTAATAACCTGATTTGCAAAACAGTATCCCTAGGAACTGGACCCATTCTGACTTGGAACTTTTTGCAGGGATTGTTGTAACTCCAGTGATCACATAGTGATAAGTTACCCACCCAAAAGATGCATTTCATTACAGGAATGTTGATTTCTCTTCCGGACCCATCTGCTCACAGAGGAGTTCAAAGGGCAATGTAAAATGTGACACCTTCCCTAGACATAAACATGTCAAAAGAAAAATTCAATTTTTGTGGCTCCTTACTAGAGGGTGAAAGCTGTATTTTTTTGTAATTATGTTTTTTTTCATGAAATGTGTATTAGAGATCTGGTTTGGAATTAAAACATGCCTGGTTTTTATGCCCTGGAAGATACTGCATCTTTCAAACTGTGTATTGCAGCTGCATATTCTATAGCATGTTGCAGTGTGGAAAGGCCCCCTTAAAGCATTGTCTGCTGACAGTCATATATACATATTTCAGAGTGCTGATTTACTGTTTATCCTCTGTGTAAACATATGCGGTATGTAGGGTTTCAGCGTGGTCTCTGGAATGCAGCTAGGCTGAGAAACTATTACAGAATACACTCTGGTGTGGAATTTATCATTTTGCTCTTTTTCCCATGCTTACATTATCACCAACATTTCTGCTGCAGATGGGGACTGGATTCTTCGTTTTGTTTATTTTTGTTTTGATTTGCTATTTTATGACAGTATTCTCATCTTGGTTTTCTCATTTCCTAAGTCAAAACCATCTTGCTGATGATTATACCTACAGGTTTTGCAATGGGAAATAACCATTTTGATACGAGTTACATGCTGTGCTTCATTGTCACTTTATGTCCAGTGGTTCTGTTTATGACACAGTTTTATTTGCTGTATGAGGAGTAACTCAGGTCCTTTCTGTTCTCTGTAAATTGTAATTTCTTTTTGGCATGAGAGTACTGTTTTGTCAGATGAATATTTTACTTCTGATAAAGTTTTACAGATCTGGTTGCCAAATCTAGATTTAAAAGGAACATATGTATATCAAGTGCTTTGGAACTGGAGAAGGAAGTTATGGAAACAGCCATTAGCAAAAAAAGACCCTGCCTGTAGCTAGAAACTGCTTGACCCAGTATAAATAGAAATCTTCTTGGAGCCAGCAGGCATTAAACAAAGACCTCTTCTGTTGTAAACCAAATTCAGCAGAGCTGCACTGTTGCTCCAGCAGATCATTCAGCCCTTGTAATACAGGGCTGACTCCTATGTGGGTTTGTCACCTTTGAAATACAAAAAGTAGCTACCCCGCATGTGTAAATTAAGCAGAGACCACAGGAAATTAATCAAGGTGACAGTCTGTTCATATGCAAAATGCTCAGGCAGGTCATATGTATGTATGTGTATATATATATCTCCATCCATTGAGACTTGGTCGTTGCAGGGGCATTGCAACAACCCTGTGCACGGAATTTCATTCTGCTTCATTTTTTCGGTGGAGCTACCAGGTTCCCTTGATTTCCCTTAAACTTACAATTAGAGACAAGATAAAATAAAACATTATTATAGGATGATTTTCCTTTCAAAATATGACTGTATTTCTTCCTCACTGTTTTCAGGAGATCTTACTTTTTGTTATAAAGTAGGTATATAAAACTAGTTGTGTTTCTGAAAGGTAGCATTAACTCTCCTGTTAAACTTGCAGATTACCGGGTGAATGACAACATTGCTCCAACTATTCCATACAACCAATCATATGACCAGAATACAGGAGGATCCTACAACAGCTCAGACAGAGGCAGTAGTACATCTGGTGAGTATCTACAGCATTTTCCAATAAAGGAGGAACCCAGTGGCTGTAAGACACTGATTGTTCAAAATTGTGGTAGTCACAAAACCAAATAGAAGTTGGATTTGCTAATGTTGATGCCCCACTGGTTAATATTATTGTCTCCAGATGGACAAGTCATAGAAATTCCTTTTCAGCCATCACAAAAAAAGAAAGAGGATTTTAATTTATATATTGTTTTCATGGTACTTTACTGACTCCTTTTTCATCTCTCAGGTTTGCTCACCCAAGACAACCTTATTCATGTACAGGCTCAAGATACCAGAACATTTGAGTGATACTGAACAGAGCTGCTTTAAGAAGTTTTTAATTTTGAACATTAAATGCATGCATTTTATTGAGTAAAAAAGCTTACATGCATACATGATTTTTTTTCTAGATTTCGGTGGCTATATGTCAAAACTGTTCTTGTACATCATTCAGATGTAGACAGCAGATAATTAAATTTTGTTTCTCATTGGCATCTCCTATGCAAAATATCTAAAAGTCCCAGAATATGGTTTAATTCAAAAGTTACTGCTTTTCATCATAGTATATAACCTGTTCAATTTCAGCGTTGATTTCCGGTAGAGGTGTGTGAAGTGTTTGGAGCTAAACCAGAACCTAAGCATAGGCTTGGTTTGGGGCTTTACAGTAAGTCTGATACTTAGTCTATGTTTATTTGCATCAAGCCAACGACAGGGCAAGTTATGGCTGCAGTCACCAGCACCCTGGACTTTACATCTACTAATTAAGATGAGGACCTTTTGTTTTGCTGTTGCCTTTGATAGTCCAGTTGCCTTAATCCTAAGCTTTGCTCATTGGGCAGTTGTGGCTGAGGCACAGAATAAGCATAAGCATGTAGATGAGCCCGTAGCTCCAAAATCTCCCAGCTGCTCAGTGTTCTGTGAGGCAGCCTTTTGCCCATTCCCAGGTCTGCAACATCAGGATGTGGTGCTGAGCCTGTGCTCAGGGACATTAAGACCAGACCTGGAGTTCATGGTGCAGTGTCTCGGGGGTATGAGCCCATGCCAATGAAACACAGGAAGGTGGCGTTCTCCATACGGACGCCTGCGTTACAGTTATCCGTAGCACAAACCATTTCTAATCCCATACCAGGGAGTCCAGGAGTGGAGTAAGATGACCAGAGTAATAAATTAACTGTGCTGAATCTAGTATATATCATGCTGCTGAGGGTACAGAATGCAGATGATGGTCGTCTTGGGATAGTTAAGGTCTTGCCTGACATACTGACATACCAGAAAATAATTGTACATAGCTAAAATGTATTCTTATCTGGCAGCTAGCGTGGGACAATAACAAGCAGAAACAATGCCTGTCAGAATGGAAAATCCGAGACGGTAGAAGTGAGAAAAACAAACTTCCTAAATCTCACTCTAAAATATTTAATCTCGTGTTTAAGGCTTAACTGTGGTAATGCAAAACCATGCCTCAGTTGGAGAGAGAAATGTGAAGGATTCTAAAACATACTCAAAACTGCAGTGACTTTATATACAATTAAAGAAGCAACAATTACAAAGCAGGATAGAAATGTATACCGTGGAACAGCAGTAGAGTCAGTTCTCATCATAGCCATGACCAACATTAAAATTCAAGACCACCTGAACAGTTGGTCTTATTCAAACTTATTTGAACTGTTAAATCTGGATTGTTCTGTTATGAGGTATAATTTCCCAGTAATAGTAGTTGAAAACATTTGTGCCATACTTCATCTATCTTCCTTCTTCTTTTTGCTATTTTAGTTCTTCTAGCAATTATTTTCAACAGCATCTGCCATTTAGACTAAAACTAGTCATTTCATTGTGCCTAAAATTGTCAGTGGACAAGTACAAATTACATATTTTCAGTGACTTAATGCAACAGTGGAACTTTAATAGATCATATCTGTATCATATTGTAGTTTAGGTTCCAGCAATTAAATAGTATAAAGGCACTTTAGAAAATGTGTCTACAGCTCATTTGTTTTAGATGATAATCTATAATATAATTAATACAAGTAGGAAGCTCACTCTTAATGGCATTGCTTGTAAAATTCATTAATGGTTTTATCACATTTTGACTATTTATTAACAACTTGAGTTTTGTATCCCATGTGTCTTTTCCATGCTATGTGAAGTTTCTGGTTACACACAACTGCTTAAAATATACAGTTATTCTACAAAGAAGCTACAATTACAAATTGGTGTGAAAAGGAACGATGCCCGTTTATTCCAACTCTGCAGCAGAGTAAATTCCCAGAGAATTGATTCAAGAGCATCTGAGAGGGACTATGGCTGTTCTGTTTTTCAAAGCTAACGATGAGGAGATACTTAAACGCATGACAAAAATGCACTGCTTTTTACTCACAGGGAGTCAAGGGCACAAGAAGGGTGCTCGGACCCCAAAGGCTCCCAAGCAAGCTGGCATGAACTGGGCAGATCTCCTTCCACCCCCTCCAGCACACCCACCTCCCCATAGCAATAGTGAAGATTACAGTCTTTCAGTGGATGAAAGGTAAGAAAAATTAATATGTCATCCATTTTTTCCTTTAATCACTTGTTAATTGACGTGTAATTTGCCCTGCAAGCTTGCAGTGAGACCTCCCTTCAGTGCTGTGCTGGTGTTCCTCATCTAGCTGTAGTGTGGCTATTCTGAGATCACTTAGTGACAGTGGTGTGCCTGCACACAGTACGTCCTTAATAAGCTCTCTTCAAGAGCACATAGAACAATGATTATTTTTTTTTCTGGGCTATTTATAAGTGTATAAGATGTGGCAATTACACAGTAAAAACTCAAGTCCTTCTTTTCTTTAAAAATTAATTTTAGCTATGACCAAGAAATTCCTTGTCCTGTCCCACCTGCAAGGATGTATTTGCAGCAGGATGAGCTAGAGGAAGAGGAAGAAGATGAGCGAGGTCCTACTCCGCCTGTCCGAGGAGCAGCTTCCTCCCCAGCCGCTGTCTCCTATAGCCATCAGTCAACTGCCACTCTCACCCCCTCTCCCCAGGAGGAGCTCCAGCCCATGTTACAGGACTGTCAGGAGGATCTGGGACACATACAACACCAACCTGAGCGGAGGTGTGTCAATGCAAATGTAGTGAGAGAGATGTCACAGGGGTCATCCTAGCCCCACTGAAAATTCCTGTTGAATTCAGCAAGGCCAAGTTTTTCACTGTGATATTTACTCTGTTAATATTTAACTTCTATACTGGAACTATTTATAACCTAAGAAATACATAATTAAGTTGCTTTATTATTATGCCATGAAAAAAAATGCAGTATATCACTTTACAGTACATACAATGCTGACATAAGTTAAATTCACAGTAATCAGGATATTAAAGTGGTATCGTTAACACAGCTTACCATATAATTACAGCTCCATTGTTTCCAATAGATTTACTGCATTATTACCATAAAATAGCATGCATTATTTCACAGTAACTGCAATTAACTTGTCACCAATATGCATGAACATATATAAATATATAATTTATATAACCTATAGATTTTCCTCCTCTCATAAATCCTAGCACAGGAAATTATTGCTTGCAAAATTTTCTTAACATTTCCATCTACCCTTATTTAAAGGAATGACCAACATTAATAAAGATAGATATCTGTCAGAGGGAAATTTTGTTTCTCCTCTGAGTTGCTTTTAGTACAAACTATTTTGCATATACACTCTCACAGCTTCTCTTCCATGAACAGTGAGTTCTGAATGAGGCTTTTTGTGCACGATACTTATTTGTCTTGCTTTCTGTTAAGAAGGCACAGCTTTTCTATCCCAAATTATATTTCTTTTATTTTTTTTCCTCTAGCGCTTTGCACATATTGTTTTTTACCACAACTACACATACTTACCTGCAATATTCTAGTCATAGTTCCTATTTTTAGAGAAATGCAGGCCTATTACGATGAAATTCATTTGATCTTACTGACTAAACTGTAGAACTTTGATTTTGTTAATAGAATTTACTGGACATTTATGGATTTATTTTCCAGAATGTTTTTTTGCAAAGCTGCTTCATTTTCATGTTCCCCTTTTCTAAGTAAGTAGTAGTTATTAATTTTTTTTCTTAAGGGCCTATTTTTAAAGGACTTTTTTTTTAAAAGCTTTTACTTCTGCTCCCCAATTCTACTAGGTCTGCCTTGTTTTGTTTTCTTTATTCTTTATGGTAACACTGTGTATCATCTCCTCTTCTTCTATCTTCCTGAGTCTTTACAATCACTCTTTTTATTAGTGGATGGCTAATAATATTTTCCTCTCATTTCCATTGGCCCTGGTATGTCAGGGCACGGAATTGTTCATTTTAATCACTTAAGTTTTCTGGGTTATTTAGAGGTTAAACTAGCTGGATGCTAATGGAAAAGAGACATGCTAAGTGGGCAATGTGTTGCGAGTGACTTTCCAGAACCTCAGCTGCCATGTTCTGGGCAGCAAGAGATGCAAACTGGCATACAGAATGGAAGAGGGATTGGAGCAGATATCTGCAAACACGCATAACCAGCCAGCAATTGCCTGGAAAATAGAAGGTTTGCTCTACACAAAGACTCATGGCTAGTCACCATAAATATCATCAAAAGTAGTAGCAAAAGTATCTGAAGTATGTTCTGGTTTAAGTTCCTAGAGCATACAGCTTACTCGTTGACTGGACTGAAAAAATGAAGCATATATTTATTTGTTCTTCCTACAACGGTTAAGTCTAGCCTTGCTGAAAGTCTTAGAATTGTTAGTGACTTTCTCAAACATTGTTTCTTTCTATATCCCTCTCATCAGCTAAAAAAGATTTACATAATTCTCTTTACTTGATTTGTCAGGCTTGGCTGACTACCTTTTCCATCTAACAGCATTGATATGACCCATGGCGTTGCTGTTTAGGAGCTGAATGTTCTCAACAGCTGTAGCCCGTTCTGGAAGGAGGTTTCTGGTCTTAATACAGTGTGACAATACTTTCCAATTAAGAATATATTCTGAGTGGTGCCTCTCTGCATTGTTTTGGGGGTTTTTCTAAATCATGGCTTTATAGTGAAAATGATGTTTAAAATACAGTTTGTCATAGTTTTTTATTAGCTTTACTTATAGTTCTGATGAATATATTCTCAATTTCTGATAGGAACCAGGTATCTAGGTCCTGGCGGTGATGAGGTGCTGTAATATTTCTCTGTCCAGTCAGCTTGCTAGAAGTATAGCAAACCAAAATAGAATTCCGTGTTCTGGAAGAGTGGACAAGCAGGGAAAAACAAAAGATTTAGTGAGATAGCAGATGCCAATGTTAAAGCAAGAGCTGAGAGGGGAGGTGATGTCACTGTTAAAGCAACAGATAAAGTGAACAAAGTATTGTTAATTCTGTAAGCACATGAACCAGCTGCTCTCAGTTAACTTATCCTGAAAGGCTGGCAGACAAGCTGTATTTTCAAAAACACTAACATATTTTGTAACCAGTTGCCTGTCTTGTAATACCAAAACCTGGAGAATCGGAAGATTGGCCAATATATTACAAGGACACTTGTCGTGAGAGCTTTAAATCAAGGCAGTAAAACTTTATTGTGCAAGGTCTCTAGTCAAAGGCAGGTAGAGATTCCCATGCAGCAATGGCTTCTGGGATTTGGGGGAAGGGGAAGTTTAGTAAACGATTATTAGGTATATATCCCTAACTGACCTTTTCTTCATTCCATTCTATACTTATTACAACAAATGGAAAACAGTGGCTGGAATATGTAGTCTAGGGAGGTTCCAGCTTGCTCTTGCCACAAAATATTAGGTTTTTCCGTGTTAAATTTTCATTTCAAAATTAGTGAGTATTCTTATTTAGTACAATGAAAAAAATATACATCCCCCCAAAATAAAAGATTTAATTAATGAGAGTCACCATATGTCAATAGTAAGAGGGAAAAAATGACAAGGGAAAATTACTTTGGAAATTTTTGTAAAGCAGGCTGCAGTAGCAGTTCCTTGTAAGTAGAGCCAACGGTGCAGCCATTGCTGCAGAGGGTGTTCCTTCCTGTCAGACAAATGTCAGTTACAGAGCATGGCTGTAGTCCTCGCTGTCTGGGACTTCTGAGTGAAGTATTAGCTAAACTGTACATTGGTCTAATGTTATCTAATACTTTGCCTCCTTAAGCTGCAGACACCATTACTAATGATTTAAGCTCAGAATAAATTAACCCATGTATCTATTTGCATTTTGGTATCCTTAAGACCTAGAACTAATGTTACAGCAGTGAATTCTTTCTTTACATTATCACCTAGACCAATTAAAAAAAATTAATGAAGTAATGGTATCTCTTTTCATATCTTTCTGAATCAGTGAAGTGAGTGTAGGGAC